AACCAAACTCACGACCTTGCACTTGCCAGGCAGGCGCTTTTGCCGCTGAGCTAAATCCCCAGCCCCGATTCCATATTTTTATGAGGTTTGTTTTCATCCTTCTACTTCAATACAGGTATCGCTCAGAGACCTCATTGTCCCTCATATGTCTGTCCTGTACCCCTTATACTTAGTTTAATGCTTTCAACATAACATTTTAAATATCATGTACATATTTGTAAAATTATTTTAATATTTCCAGTCCAGAGTTGCCTTTGAATTTTAGTTCATATTGTCACTCACTTTCTTGATGACTTCTTTGGAATGGCTCACAATCGCCTCATCCCAAATATTTAAAATGATGCTTTTCCTTTCTTAAACAATCTACTGTTTCCAGAATTATTAACTTAATAAAAATCTTAGCCTCTTACTCTACCAAATCTAGAAAGTTTTGTGAATTTGACTTATTTTTGAGATCTCCATATTTAATTATATTCCAGTTACTACTAATTTTACTTGTTAAGTATCTGTCAAATTCATGTTCTCTTTATCTCTATTGTCACTGCCCTGGTTTAGTCTCTTGTTCTTTCTTATTGTACTGCTGCAATAGTTTTCTCTCTAAACTTCCATTCCCTATCATATCTTTTCAGTTCACCCTCCACATATGCATGAATATGTACTGTCTTCAATGCAACCTAAAATATCACTTACTCCACTCAAAACCACTCCACAGTTTCTGCTTTCTCTTAACAGTGGTTTTCAAAATGTAACAGCTCTAAATTGTAAAAGCAAAATTTCACTAATATAGAAGGGCATATTTCTAGTGATTCAGATTCATAATTCTAACTCTTAATTACATGGCAAAATAATTCTTGTCCAGTGTGATAAAAGTCAAACACAACCACCATCAGAGGAGTCCTTTCCTCCTTATAAGGCACTTCGCTATGCTTTTCTGTTTGCTGATCTTTACCTGAAGTCTCTAAGGTAGGAATAACAGGCATATTTTCATTTGAACTTATTGATGGTGATGATACTAATGCTGAGAGATGAAATGACCTAGTCATGCTTTTCTGGTATTTTTAGATTTTTTAAATATGAAAATAATACCATGTATTAAGAGGCTCACAGTATAGGGGAAAGTACAATAAGCACAAAATATAATAAGTAATGTATAAAAATAAATATAAAAGTAACCCACTGACAATGAAGTGAAAAGTTTCTATGGGATGGTAAAGATCATGGAAAATATACAAAGATGCCTACTAAACAGCAGGGAACAACTTTTTAGGTCAAACAGATATAACATAAAAAGATAATAAGAAAAGGAACAGCAAACCGAGATTTGGTGAATAACCCACCATAGCAGCAGAAGACTCAGTATGAAAATGACACAAATGAGTTTTGGGGATAAAAAGAATTATTTTCAGGCTAAAGAGGAAAGATTGGGATGCAGTTATGCACTGATGTACAAATGAATTTGAGTTTTGACCTTTAGACAATAGAATCCACAGTTTGCGTAAAAATAAAGTAACAGGACTATGGCAACAGGTGAGAACTTGTACAGAATTGTGTAAAACACTAGATTAGATGGAAATTCTCAAATGTAGTTCTGTGGCACAGAGAGTGAGAGAAATTGGAATTAAAAATGATATAAACATCCATATTTTGGCAAAAATATACATGTTATAATCCAAAATAATAAAATGAAGGGAACAGTGAGGGAACACACGATCTTCGTTTGGAGCACAACAAACTGATGTGTCTGAAGGATCTAATAATACTGAGGTGAAAGCAGGGAACAAGTGTGTTGTTAGCCAAATGTATTTAAGCCTGTTGTGTAATGGAAGAATAACACCTTATAGTTTGGTGGAAGTACTGTAACAAAACACCAACTGTATAATTTAAAGAATAGATATATTTTGTCACTGTTTAACATATTGTCAAGGTTGGTTCCTTCTAAGAATTGAGAGAATTTTTCCATGCTTTTTGCCTACGTTCAGGTGTTTTGATTTTTGTTTTGTTTAGCAATCTGTGGTGTTGCTTTACATGTGGACACATGATCCCAATCTCAGACTTCAAGTTCACATTCTACTCTCCCTCTGTATAGGCCTACCTCAAATTATCCCCCTATTCAGAAGACAATGGTCATATTGCATTGGAGACAAATACTACTTCATCTAACCTCATTATAACTTAACTTTTTATATCTGCAAAGATCTAGTTCCAAACAAGGTCACATTCTGTGTTATTGATGGAACATTCTTTTGAGAGGGACAGTTCAACCCTTAATACTGGGTCTTAGCAATCACTTCAACTGAGGGAGTGAAGGGATAGCATTTATTAGATTTTAAGCATGGATCATATTAATTTTATGGTAAGTTTCACAAAGTGTGGTTGAAACGTGGCAGACTTTCTGACAAGTTAGCTGTATATTATTGGGCAAATGAGAAAAGAAATGTAAATATATTTGAAAAACAAAATGATTGTTTTAAGAGCATTTGGTTGATTTTTAGTTTTATTGTCCTCAACTGGGCATATGCTAGAGGAAAACAGACGGGTTCCTTTTTCTTGATCTCAGTTTGTTAAATAGGGAATTAATAATATACTTTGTCACAAAACTATTTAATATGTGAAGAACTGCAATTATGTTGATTTAATCCTCATCTGTGTATTTAAAATTTGTCTAGTATATAATCTTAACTTTTCCAACATTGGTTGACATATTCCAAAATAGTCTGTTGTTATTGGTTCAAGTAAATGACCTAATAAAAGTTATCTTTTATTTCTTACACTGCTATAGCCATTGTTGTACTGATTGCTTTAAATCTTTCTGTTTTTCTGAGTCTTCAGAAAGATTATCAATTCATCTGTCCATAAAAATCGCTCTATCTGTATCTCCTTTCTTAAGTTTTCTGTTTTCTTTTTTTTTTTTTTTTGGTTTTTCTCCAGTACCGGGAACTGAACTCATGACCTTGCGCTTGCCAGGCAGGCGCTTTGCCACTGAGCTAAATCCCCAGCCCCAAGTTTTCTGTTTTCTAGATGAATTTCATGCTCCTTTGGATTCTCTAAGTAAAAATTATATTTATATTATAAACACTTTTTTAAATAATATTGGTAACTTCCATTGATTTAGGTATTAACATTATCAGCATCCAATGTGTACTACATCTTGAAACTCGACTGCAACCTTCAAGTACAAAATGAATTACAATACTGTATCTCTGATTCATTTCAACAATCTTAATACTAAGATTCTTGTACCTTATGGTACCACTTTATTGGCAGCAAATATGCATATGGAGTTCCTACCTCAAATATGTGTTTTTGTTTTGTTGAAATTGACAATAGTTAAAATATCACGTACATTTTGCCTAGGACATAATTTCTAAGCAATCATGTTCACCAAAAATACTCTTTCCATCTTTCCATTCTTTCAGCCTTAAACATACATAATATACAATACAGAAAAATTTAAAATAAAGCTTTTTCAGTCAACCTATCTAGGTATTTGGGGAAAAACTGATTGTGGAATGTTAATAATTATCCCTTTTCTAATAAAATATTATTTGTAAACACATACAATGTCAAAAAGTATAAAGTACTACTCATTTTAGTTTATAAATGATCTGTGATGGTTAATTAGATCAGTAGAATGTAGTTCAACAATCAACGGAAACCTTAAAGCAATTTAGAGTACTTTGAATCTTTAAAGAAAATCCAATAACCACTTGAAAAACAAAATCAATACTTTTAAATGTTTCTTTTTTTATTTGCCGCAGGGTCCAAGTTTTCTCTCTGAGGCAGCTTTTCCTCAACATGCAATAAATATTGAAGAAATGGATCCTTTCTTCAATCTTCATGAAACCATTACCAAGGTAGGGGAGGAATGCATTCATGAATTTATGAACAGGATGGGGAAAGTTGTGTTTTGCTGTTGTTGTTGTTTGTTTGCTTTTTTTTCATGGGTGAGGAATGAAAAATAACCAATCAAAAGATATTTATATATTTACCTCTGTAAGATATGCTGGAAAGGATTTTAGTCATACTATTATTTTTCAAAAGAGTAAAGATGATCAACAAGGGGCTGGGGATTTAGCTCAAGAGGCACAGCGCCTGCCTGGCAAGTGCGAGGTCATAAGTTCAATTCCTGGTACTGGAGAAAAACAAACAAACAAACAAAAATGATAAACAAATAAACAAAATCCAATAAATTTATTCAAGTTTGCAGAGGTCCAAAACTTATGATATCTTTAAACATCAACTCAGAAAATTGACAGCTTTTCCTTTTAATCTGACAGTAGGTTTGTGTTATATATTTTTAAGTTTTTTTATTTTTATTAGTTTATGTTTTCAGAACAAAATGATGACACTCACTGTGCATGTTGACACATCTACATTACATTAGTATCTTAATTATTTCATGTCTCCTTTCCCTACCATCTTAATGTCTCCATCTCTTTGTCCCCTTTCATTTACAAAAGACCTCCTAGTTTTGTATAATTTATCTTATATTTTGCTCTTTATTTATATTTTATGAGTCTCATATAAGAAATTGTGCAATATTTAAACTTGTAGGTTTGATTTATTTCAATATATGGTCTCAAGGTGCATCCATTTTCCTATAAAGGATTTAAGTGTATCCTTCTTTGTAGCAGGGTAATATTCAACTGTGTAGAAATACTACATTTTCTTTATTCATTCATCTGTTGATGGACATAGAGGCTCCTTTCAAGATTTAGCTGTTACGAATTGTGTCACTATAAACATGGGTATGCACATATCACTGTTATATAGAATCTTTAATTCTTTTTGGAAGATACCTATGGGGGAAATACCTGAGTCAAACAGAAACAGTTCTTATATTTGAGGAATCTCTGTATTGATTTCCATAGTGTTTATGCAAGGTTATACTCCCACCAGCAGTTTAGAAGCGTTCCTTTTCCTCCCCTGCCTCTCTAGCATTTGTTATTATTTAATTTCTTGATGGTAGCCATTCCTTCTGGAGTGAGATGCATTCTCAATGGTTTTTTCAATTTTCATTTGTCTGATGGTGTTATGGTTTGTGTTTAGATGTTTCCCTAAAGTCTCATGTAGTTTTAGATGGGGCTTTTTCAGAGGTGGTTGAATCTAGAGTGTGTGATTGATTCATGGTTCACTGCTAGGATGAAGGGTACTGGGATTAGGATAGGTGATTGCTGGATCAATCCACTGATTGGACTGCACTGCCCTAATCCCCAGGAATCTGGATACAATATAAGGGGCAGAAAGAGGTTTGTCTCCCTTCTCTCCATTGTTGCTTTAGCTGTCTTCCACTGCCATGAGCTGTTGTCTGTCTGCTGTATGCCACCCTACCTTGGAGCCAGCCAATAATAGAATAAAACCTCCACAAAATGCAGACTAAAGAAACATTTCCTCCTTTAACTTTGGGCGTTGGCTACTCTGTCTCATCAATGAGAGACAAGTAACTAATACAAATGGCTAATGATGCTGAACATTGTTTCATATATTTATTGGCCAGTTTGTACTTTTGCTTTGGAATAACATCTATTGATTTCAGTTACCCATTTTGGGGGGTTGGGTCTTTTATTAGGGAGAATCTAATTTCTGTCATTTTTCACACATTCCAGATTTTAGTCCTCTGTCTGAGGTACAGGTGGATAAAATTTTACCCATTTTGTAGGTTGTCTCTTCACTCTATTTGTTATTTCTTTTGCTGTATAAAGCTGTATAATTTGCTAGTTATTGATTCTTAATTTTATTACTTGGGCAATTAGAGTTGGCTTCAGAAGGTCTTTGCCTACACCTATGACTTCGAGAGTTTTACCTATGCCTTCTCTCAGTGGGTTAAGTGTTTCTGTTGTAATATGTAGATCTTTGATCCATTGTGATTTCAGTGAATGGTGAGAGATATGTGCCGTCATTCAGTCCCCAGTTTGTGTGTAGCCCATTTTCCCACAGCACTTTTTAAAGGTTCTGTCTTTCCTCCAGTGAAAGTATTTGGCTCTTTTGTCAAAATATGTTAGCTGAGTGTGCTTGGAGTTGTTTCTGCATCCTTTCTCTGTTCCAATGATACACAAGTCTGATTTTTTTGCCAGTGACATGAGGGTTTTTTTTTTATTCATTTGTAAGTTTGTTTGTTTTTAATAACCATAGCTTTGTACTGTAATTTGAAGTCTGGGATTGTGATGCCCCACCTTGCCCTTGTTGCCTGTAACTCATTCTTTCTTTCTTTCTCTTTTTCTCTTCTCTTTCTTTCTCTCTTTCTTTCTTTCCTTTCCTTTCTTTCTTCCTTCCTTTCTTTCTTTCTTTCTTTCTTTCTTTCTTTCTTTCTTTCTTTCTTTCTTTCTTCTCTTTCGTACTTTCTTTCTTTCTCTCTTTCTATTGTAGGTCTCTTCCTGTTGTATAAGAGCTTAAGGTTGCTTTCTCTAGTTCTGTTATAAATGTAGGTATTTTGATTGGGATTGCATTAAATCTGAATAACAGTTTTAAAAG